AGAGAGAGAATTTTTATTATTTATTTTTTAGTTTTCGGCGGACACAACATTTTTGTTGGTATGTGGTTCTGAGGATCGAACCCGGGTCGCACGCATGCCAGGCGAGCACGCTACCACTTGAGCCACATCCCCAGCCCCTACCATCAGACTCTTGATGCCTTTGTACCCTTGGTGAAGCCTTCAGAAAATTTGAACAGTGACTCAGCTCTAAAACCCACAGGAGCTGGCATAGAAGGGTGAAAGTAGAGAAAGTTAACAATCAGTCTAAAAATATTACTGCTGATTTGGTCTCTTGTACTCTCTGAGGTAGCATTAATGAGCTGGAACCCTCTGCCAGGTTGGGCTATAGAGGGACAGTCAGGTCACTCTAGGGCATCTGACCAGTATCAGAGTTTCCAGAAACTTGGCTCATTCTGTGGATTGAAGGAAATCTCAGAATTCTGTTGTTGACATACATTTTAACCCCATGTACTTTCATTGTTCTCTATCTCTGTTTTTTTCCTGAACCATTAAGAATACTACAAAAGAGGAATTTAAGTTACCTTAAAATTGATAACAATACTTAAAAACTGGCATTTATATTCCAATTTTAGCATTTTTCTCTTCCTTCTCTCTTAACATGCATCAGCCCAAACTTTAGGCCCTAGCTTTTCTTGTTCTTGCTCAGAATGATCTTACAAAGTCTCTTAATTGTCTTGAACATACTTTTTCATGAAAGCATTATTACTATTTCTTGCCACTGTTTTTGTATTATTTGTTCCTGGTACTGTGTTATGCCACTTCTTTGCTTCTCCCTGTACCCCACTCAAGTGTTATCAGAGTTAACGCTATTTGAGGGCGAGTCCTGTACAGCCACCTGGATTGCTTTGGTACCCTCCCTTCTATTTTTTCTTTCCAGTGTCCAGGGGTTGTGTCCTAAGAGCTGTATTTATATTATAATCTCTAGTCTTTAAATCAAGGGAAATAATTATATATGAAAGATATTTGGGTAAGGTAAAGGGGTTGATTAGGAACTTGAAGTAATAAGCCTCATTTTTTCTAGATTAGTGCTTCTTAAATTTTAATGTACATGCAGATCTCTTGGAATCTTGTTAAAATGCAGATTCTGATTCACGTGGGGTCCAAGATGCATTTTTTAATGAGTTCCTACAATGACAAAGCCCTAGCTAAAGTTTGAGACCTGCATGCTTTGGTCCTGTGGCACCAATTTCTGGTAGGTGAGATTGCTCATTTATAGTTGATGGTCTTAAAGAATTTGAACAGAAAGGAGAGGTGCCAGGACCAAGATGACAAAGAAATATGGGATCCTGGCAGTTTGTATCGGTGCAGGAGGAGGGTTTGTTGAGGATTCAATCCAGAGCCTCATGCATGCTGGTTGAGTGCTCTGAGTTTCATCTCCATTCCCTTGACAATTTTTTTAAATAACAAATAAATGGTGTACTATAGAATATGAAGCATGGTGTCAGAAAGGATCAGGTCCCATTTTGTCACTCATGAACTGTGAATTACACATATTGACTACCCCCTGACCCATGATTTCCTGTGTTAAGATGGTGTAATATCCACTTTTTAGGATCCAGTGAAGTTTATTTACCTAAAGTACTTCTGGCATGTGTTGGATGTTCAATAAATGGAAGTTGCTATTAGTGTTAGGGACTTGATTGAACCTGGTGCAGATTGTGGAACAAATGACTGACCATGAGCTGTGAACACTTGAGGAAGTATAATTCATTAGTGACCACCATGAGATGTCATACCATTTTCTATTTAGACAGGCTTGTTACCATAGGAGAGGAGTGCTGTAGACATAAAATTCCTAGCTATAACCCAGAAACTTGACAAAGCCTCAAGTTACCTATGTAGGTACAGTAGAAATTTACAGTTTAGTTGAGATAGACATGTATCAATAGAATAGTGAATAGGAATTGGCATGAATGAGAAAAAGTGACCTGTAGCGACTACTAGGTTGGTTTTTGACTCTTTTCAATGCATTTTTTTAAAAATGTAGGTGAAGACATAGCCCATATTTGTCTCCTTGGTCCCCCCAGGTCAAACCCTATGGATTAGTTAGCCGTTCTTCAGCATTTTTTTTGCATAGTGCTTTATGCTAGACCTTGCTTATAACTCTCAGAGCTAGTCAGTACTGTGCTGCATGAAACTCCCCTCTTCCAGGATTAACTAACTACCGTTAATACTGTTTATCACTGGTGAATGCTCCTTCTAACTTCTGCTTTAGCTGAAGGATTTTCTTAAAAATCCTGCTTTGCCCAGTGGAACCTACTCTTTCTCCCAAACCATACCTACCTCAGGGTCATTCTTTTCTTCCTTCTTATAGCTTGCAGTATTTCTCCTGAAGATTTCAATACCTGGGTTCGTTCGTTCGTTCGTTCGTTCGTTCCTTCCTTCCTTCCTTCCTTCCTTCCTTCCTTCCTTCCACCCTTCCTTCCACCCTTCCTTCCACCCACCCACCCTGGGCCCAAGTATCACCATGAATTCTTTTAATATTCATATGGATGTTGAATATAATGTCTGATATTTCAGACTTTACCCATTCTAGTTCAGCCACCTATATTTTTCATACTCTGGACTTTGCCACATATGGAACTCTGAATAGTTACAGTCCTTCCTCTTCCTGTTTATCCTCTAATGCCTTCTTCAGTCTTCTCACAGTCCTTGGAACTTGCTGTTTCTCCATATATTTGCTCCCAATCTAATGTCTCTTTTCTGTCTTTAGCATATAACATCTGACCCTCTCCTCGTCTCCTCTCTTGATGTCAATATCAACTCTGTTGTCCCATTTTCTCCTTCACACCATCTCAGGGGAAAATCATAGCCCTCTGTGGGTCCAGTGACCATTCGGGTACCTGAGCTCTGCTGTTCTGTTAAGTCCAACTTAAATACTCGGTCTCCCTCTCTGCTGGTAGCTAGGCAATTGTGGCTGTCTTCGTTAGATTTCCTAGTCAGCCTCTTTTGTTATCCCCTCAGCAGTTTTTCACATCATCTCTTCAGTGTCTCTCAGTCACCCTTAGGATAAAATCAAAACTCACTAATCTGGTTGTTAAGACTTTTTATGATTTGATTGTTACCTCATTGTTCACCTCCCTGAGCTCATTTTTGTAAAATTTGAAGGAGGACAAGGCCCTCTAGGGCATTGGTACCACTTTTAAGACTGATGCATGTGATCTGTGGGTTTTTCTGTGCTTTGCTGCATCAGGGAAGAACCTTGAGTAAATGTTTACACATCCTGCCTTTTCAAGGGCAGATTTTCCACTTCTTTCAGGCAGGGGTTTGTCAAGGATTACTTGAAGTTTTGTCAAGATTATTTTTGATGGGCATCAGAATGGAAGTTTTTTGAGATACTTAGTTTCAGCATACAGTTAAGTGTTGCATATATACAGTTCCAAGCTAGTGCTTAGAAAACTGCTTTGAAAAGCCAAGGTAAAACACTGTTTTCTTGAAAAAATAGTAAACAAGCTCCTTGGTGGATGTAGTATGGCTCCACTCCCCTTCATAAATATTAGACTGGCTAAAAATTAAAAGACTGACCATACCAGGTATTGGTCAGGATTTGGGGAGACTGAAACTCATCATTGCTGTTGAGACTGTAAGATGGTATATCTACTTTTTTAAATTAAAAATATTTTTTCCATTATAGAATAACAATTTTACAAATATATCTTCACTGTCTCCTGCATTAAAAAAAAAAGTTATATCTAGAAAGGGAGATCGCATGCCAAGGAGATTGGGTTGGTCTGATCCCATGGTAATAGCTGTTTTGGATTTAGTGCACGCATATGTTCTGTCATGAATTGCAGTATGTTTGATACTATTGAGACCATGTCTTGACTTTGGTTGGTTCCTGCCTCTTGGTACTCATTCCAGACCCAGCCAAGCATTCAGGCTAACTTGGAGGCCTGGGAAAAAATAAGCTCTAAGTGGCCTGTTTCACTTAATTGCTACTGTAGGCTAAAGGGGACCCAGTAACAGGCTTGTTCATTGATCACCTATATTATTTTGGATTCACCTAGGCCATTTTGAAAAATGTTTTTTCAGTTATTCAGATGAAAAAACACCAAATTAGGGGTTCTGTCCTAGCTTTAGTGCCCCCATGGCTCAACAAAGCCCTCTTACTCTTCATTCTCATGGGCAAAGGGTGTGCTTTGCTCAGATCCCTCATTTCCCCAAGACCATGTGTGGAGAAATACTGTTCTTTTTCAATGTATGATATTTAAATATTGTGTGCTAGGCACCCTCTGCTGAGCACTTTCCATCTGCTGTCTGATTAAGTCCTCCTAACAATGTTATGAAATAGTTGGTATTCCACTGAAGATGCCAGTGAGAAAGGGGAGGCTCAGAGAGTCGAGTGAGCTTCCTAGAGCTCGAAACATCTGCAGGAGGTATTAGGCCCAGGATTTTATCCTGGTTCATCTTAAGTCATAGAGTGGGCTTAACCATGCCATTCTGTTTCCATCCTAAATGTTTCAAATTAAGGGGTTCATAGAAGATAATTTGTGGGTAAGAAAGAAAGCTAGGAGTGTACGCTAGGAGTTTGATGCTTGAACTACACCAAAGTTTTGGGATGTGGTATGTATTCCTGAATTTCAACTGTGTAACATTAAAAAGTTGAGAATTTTTCTAATAAGAAGATTGACAGGCAGAAAAGAATATGGTTTGGGATTACTAATTGTGCTACAGGTGTATCCAGATATTATCAGCAGTTGAGATCAATGTCCCCAGATGTTGGCAGAAACCATTAAGTCTTGTGACAGAGAGCAGACTCTTTTGCAGGAACTCTGGTCTTCAAATAGTATCCTCTAACTGCCTTTCATGAGCTGTGGGGGTTCATGTCTCAGAAGTGGATGGTAATTTGTTAATTATATTCTGTGTTTCTGGTATGCTTTCAGTGGTCCTGCCTTACATAGCTGTTGGAGGGGAAAAGAAGGACTTTTGGCTGGAAAAAACTAAAAAATCATATGGTTTCTTTTTTTTTTTGGTCCTAGTACTGAGCATGCTTCATAATCCGCTGGGAAATGTCCTAGGAAAACCCCCATTGAGCTTCCTGCCTCTGGATCCCCTTGGGTCTGATTTGGACAAGTTTCCAGCACCTTCAGTTAGAGGATCCCGCCTGGACACTCGGCCCATCCTGGATTCCCGTTCTAGCAGCCCCTCTGACTCAGATACGAGTGGCTTCAGCTCTGGATCAGATCATCTCTCAGACTTGATTGTATGTAACATATTCAGAAAGGGAGTTTGAGGGTTGTGTTGCCTGTGTGTGTTTAAGGGGAATGAGGATGCAGTGTCTGTCTTAGAGCTTGAATGCAAGCTGGAAGATAGGATGATAGGAGACATGGAAGCCAGTGTGCACATTTGTAGAGACTTATTCTCAACAGAACCAAGGATCCTTTGAGTATCCATGAGTAATACATTTCAGGTCCTAGGCTGAAGATATTTTAATAGTTACTCTAAAAGCTGGAAAACAGTTAATTTTAAAAGTAAATTGGGGTCCTGGAGTGCTCTATTTTTTTACCTACTTGGGTAGTTAGCTTTTAAACAATAATATTTATTGTACCTTTTTGAATGCTATCTCAAAAATTTTATTAATTTTTTTTAAATAATACAGCACTAGGATTTTAATCCAAATCGGATTCTAGCTCTTATGTTTTTTCCGCTGACCCCTGTCCACTCTGAATACAAGGCGATGGTAAATCTATGAAATATTGCTTCAGAGTTAATTTATGCATCTCATATTTCTTATTCATGTATGACATGTGTGATCTCCATGATAAGTAGAGTTGGCAAATGGATTAGAGTAGGTGGCGAGGATATAGCTAGTATAGATAGAATTGCATAGAAAAGGGATAGAAATAAATATGTGGAATTGGCAGTAAGACATCTTCCTGAAATAAAATACAGTTTCAGGTACTTTCTGAGCCTTGCATTTCTAATTCCAAATCCCCTGAGCTGAATGTTGAATGAATATAGAATGGTTTGTTTTCTCAGACTCTTCTTTTCCATCTAAGGCTTAGCGATATTATCATGGTCATGGTTTCCCATTCATGGCTTTTAGAGCCCATCCTGTTTTCTATCAGCCTGTCCTAGACTGTGAAAGCTAGCATTGGTGTTCACACTGCCCATTGGTTTTGTCTTTTCAAACTGTGTATTTCTAGAAGAGCAGCCACAGTAGGCCCTTTCCTTCTCTGGGCTACAGTCTGTTGCCCAGTGAGCTGCTTCTAATTCTGTTTATGTACTTTAGATGGGACTAAAGTACTTGAGAATGTACCTCAGAACTAATATTGGGGATTTTGTTTGAAGAACTTTCTTAGCTACCCTGACCCAAGAGCTAATTAGGGGAGAAACAAGGATGACCCAGAAGAGAATATAGTGATAGTATTAGAACTTAAAATATTCTATCAATCAGTTATTTTGACCTTTTTTTGATAATATGGTATCATTTTACCCTAAATTAGAATTTAAAAGCCTTGACAGAAGCATGTTATATAACTCATGTTCCTATACCTTTCTGATAGAACACAGGTCCCTTATATAAAGCACTTTGGCATTCTACTTCTAATAATTTGACCAAACAAAGCACAAGATAATGAAGCAGCCTCCACCCTCCCCAGTGCTGGGGATTAAACCCAGGGCCTTGTGCATGCTAGGCAAGCTGTCTCCACTAAGTTAAACACCCTAGCCCAGAAGAAGCAGCATCTTAAAATTTTTATTGATGATTTTGAAAACTCAAAGAGAATCTAAATATTTAACAGTAGGCAAATGGGTCAGTGAAATGTAGCTTGTTTCCTAAATAAAACATGATAAATTCATTGAACTATCTGGCAGTGTGGGAAAATGTTGAATGGGGAAAGGAAGAGAATTTAATTATAGTATAACTACAGTTGATCTTAAAAATGCACAGGAAGAAAGTCTGAGAAAATATATCAAATGATAAAATGTATGTTAAGCATTTTTCAGTATTACTTTATAACAAAACCTTAAAAAAAACTGTCTCCTTTTTCTTCTTCTAGTCAAGCCTTCGCATTTCCCCTCCTCTGCCTTTCCTGTCTTTGACTGGGGGTGGTCCCAGAGACCCTTTAAAGATGGGGGTTGGGTCCCGTATGGACCAAGAGCAAGCTGCTCTAGCCGCAGTCACTCCCTCACCAACCAGTGCTTCAAAGAGATGGCCAGGAGCTTCTGTGTGGCCATCCTGGGACCTTCTTGAAGCTCCCAAAGACCCCTTCAGCATAGAGAGAGAGGCCAGGCTGCACCGGCAAGCTGCAGGTGAGTGTGGCTTGAGAATGTTTGGGGCCTGACGCCTTATTCTGGGAGCAGAGAGAAAGTAACCTTGGTTCACACCATGATGAACTGTCTAGAAGAGATTTGGTTGCCTGGTGAATTCTCTAGATACACAAAGAAGCATTTGTTCTTTGGAGTAAGGAACAATTTTGAGGCTGAGAGGAAAGAGACATAATCAGGTACACAAAGCTGTGCCACAACATAAGGGGTTAGATCCATCTCTTGTTTGTTTGCTTCCATGGAGATAGCTTTGTGCTGCCCTTGATTTGATTCTTTTAAGGGTGAATGCCTCCAGAGAAACTTTGGAAATGATGCCTGAGATTTTGTCTACCTCTCTACCCCTTTTTTGACTCAAAGACTTGCCAGCCACAATACATGCTGGGGCTTTCTTAAGACTTTCTGATTGGTACACACAGGGATGCACTGGGGATGGGTGGTCCATTTGTCAGTGTCTAAGGTATGAGATGTCATCAAGTGCCTGGTCTCTTAAGAGATCTTAAATACATATTAAATTGTTTTTTCTTTATCAGTGCTTTGAAGTAAATGAGCTATATATGCCATTGACTACTAATGTTTCAGGGAAGTGCTCACCAACCACTGTTCTGAGGTCTTGGAGTTGATGACTAAGTACATGTTAGTTTCTCTATTCTAATTGTCTCCTTAGGCTTTAGTTTCTTTCTACTTAGAGAGCTAGTCCAGATCTCATTCTCCCCTAACAATGCTGCTGCTGCCCTTGTCATCTAATGGTTTTGGCAGCCCACCTTTGTACTTTCTCTGGTGCCATTGTTTTCCTGTGAATTGATATTACCATGCTTTCAAATGAGGCCATTATATTGATTTTCACTTTGGTCATAAAATCTACTGATAGTTATGCCCAATTTCTTGCTGTAGCGAGACATTGGGCCTGTGCCTATTAGGGAATGGGCTTCCATATCCTTGTCCTACATGAAAATGATGGTTTATTTGGATGTCTGCCTCAGTATTGAAGAAATAGGGCAAAATGGTAAAGACTAGCCACAATCCCCACCTAATTTAGTTTTTTTGATCAAGAAAGGCACAGACTGGGTGGAGATAGGATTACATACTGATAGGTGACTGAATTGGTCGTCAAGAACATGTCTCTAGAAATAGTTAAGGATGGGCCAAATAGAAGAAAGTCCCTATAGAGCAAAAAGGGCTTTTAAACAAGGTATTTGTGTTTGGTGTAAATAGGAAGTGCCAAATCCATTATTGTTCAGTATTGGCATCAAGGAGGGCCCTGTATCATGGTTCTGACTTGGGGAACAGTGTGACATTACTGATTTTTTGAGTTGCTAGTGGTAGTATATTGGCAGTGTTATGACTTCCATGATTGAGTTCAGAGCCAAGACAGGATAAGAGTAGAATAATAGTTTCTCATTCAAACATTGGGGAGAGGGCCTATTTGGATCAATAAACCTATAGGACATTTATATTTATATTTATAGGACATTTATATAAAATACTCTATTTACTTGCAAGTCATTAGAAATTTATTTAATACTATAAGCATAATATCCAGATAAAACTGCTTTGTGGTTAGCACTATCAGTTTTATGTTTGAAAATAGCTTGGGTGTGATGATTGTTTACCTTATATGTCTGATTTGGCATTCCTTTCAATTTTAGTGGGGACAAAATTGTTAAATTAGGATTATCCAACTGAACTGAGTAGATTTATGAGATATGACATTTCTTGCCTTTCAGAATAGTCGTGGATATTCTCCCAGGCAGCCAAGTTAGCATTGTGGCTGGTTTATTTCTTCCTGGACAGGTCCATTCCGAGGAAGCTTGGTGACTTTGTCAATTCATTGACCCTTTGTTTGTTTCTTCATCTTCTTCCAAAGCTGTGAATGAAGCCACCTGTACCTGGAGTGGCCAGCTTCCTCCCCGCAACTATAAGAACCCCATCTACTCCTGCAAGGTGTTCCTAGGAGGTGTTCCCTGGGATATTACGGAAGGTGAGATGCCTTCAAGACCTGCCACAGAGTTGAAGGTGGGGAATGTCTTTCAGGAGACGAGAGGCTGCATCTCTGCCTCAGCACAGTGTGTTACTGGAGCGGGTGAGGAGACAGGTACATTTCATAGATTTCCTTAGTGCTTCGTTTCTGGTATTTACATCTGTCACTTGAGACTAGAGTTCAGTTCCAAATTGTTCATCAAGAAAGGTGAGCCTATGCTGTGCTTTTCCTAGGGAGAATGGTGCCTCAGTTTCTACTGTTCTTTCCCATCTCTTTACAGCTGGATTGGTTAACACCTTCCGTGTTTTTGGCTCTCTAAGTGTGGAGTGGCCTGGTAAGGATGGCAAGCACCCCCGGTGTCCTCCCAAAGGTAATATGCCTAAAGGTAATAAAGACATGGTAGGAACTTTTATTTCCCCTCCTTAGTACATAATCTCACCAATGGGTGATGGGATGTCACAGCCGCATGCTGGTAACATGGTGGGCACTCCAGGGCACATATCTTCCAGTGGTCAGCACTTCCTCTTTGATTTGTCACATCCCTCTGTTTCTTCTGGGTTAATGTGTATCTCTCTCCTTCCCTCTCAGAATGAGGCATTTGAAAAGCTTTCCCTTGCCTGACTTTGCTGCCCGACCTAATTCTGAGATCCCTTTGGAGTTGGCAGGAATGAGGACCAAACACCTGATTCCTCACTGTTCTCTAAAATGAGATCCCTTCCCTGTAGAAAGGAGAAGGAGCTATTTTCAACTCTGCCCCTCTTCATGAAACTGAAACAATGGTTTAACTAGGCTTTTAAAGCAATACTTATATCCCTTGGCAGACTGGGTACAGACCTGCCATCCCTCCTGGCTCTGCTGACCAGAGTACACTCTATCCTGGCATAAAAGAGCTGGGGGGCAGTGGTGGGGTCCTTTATCTTAGCTTGCCATTCTTTCAGGTGGGAGATAGTTTCTCTCTCTCCCTTGGCCTGGCATATGGCACAGCAAGTGCTTCCATTCCACAAGACTTTCCAGGAGTAGAACAAAAATTATTTTATACTCAAGGCCTCCTCTCTTGGAAGAAACCACTGTTGTAAAGCCAAGGCTGAGGAGTAGTCACCTGAGGAATGTTAATGTAATTTTTCTCTCACTGGGAATAGGGTACGTGTATCTGGTTTTTGAGCTAGAAAAGTCTGTCCGGGCCTTGCTTCAGGCTTGCTCTCATGACCCACTGAGCCCAGATGGCCTGAGTGAATATTACTTCAAGATGTCCAGCCGAAGGATGCGCTGTAAGGAGGTGAGTTACTAGCATGGTATCCCTTCTGGGTCCAGGTGGTAGAGGGAAGCACTGGATTTCCTTGGGATGGGTAAATATTGCAGATTGCAAGAGGCAAGAGGTATTCCCATTGAGCTAAGAGATCTGTTCTTCTTGTCGTACAATAAATAGAACAATATCTTCTAATTACACTTTTAACAACCAACTTTTGTACCTTAATGTACCTTAATGGGCTAAGAATGCACTCTTACCTATAGAGATCATATTATTTTCCAGCTCATTCCCCCTCCCCAAAACCCCCCTTATTTTTATTAGTTTATTTATTAATTTATTTTTGCCCTGCTGGGGATCATATCTAGGGTCTCATGCATGCCAGGCATGTGCTGTACCACTAAGCCATGTGCCTAGCCCTCCTACCCTCCCCTTTTTCTATCCTATACTTTCATCCCAAACCTCTTACCTCAGAGATGAAATTGAGAACAGCATTGTTCTCTTGGATTAATTAGTAAAACCACAAGTACTTTCTCTAGTTTGGCTCTTCTGACCTCCCAGTATATAGTGGGTAAATCCCCCACCATGTCTTCTTCATTCTCATTCAGGGCTTTATTAGTTAGTTTTCTCTATATAACTCTTTCCTTATACTTCTTTGGTTTCAGCCTGGGTGTTCTTGGCATTATGGAGTTATCTCACCTGGGGATCTCGTAGCAGATCCTTGTCTCAGGCTTACTGGGTAGTCTGGGTGGAGTTTAGGAATGTTGACTATAATAGGCGATCCATTGGTTCTAGTGGATAGAATTTGAGACCATTTGTTTTGAGTTCAGGAATTGTTGTAGGGTTTTTAAAAATGTGATTCCAGAACACATCACTTTTAAAACATTAGATTATGTTTCTGAAATTTTGTTTCCTCATCGGCTAGAATAACCTTTTTATTAAAAAGATCAGAGAGGCATACATAGGCAAAGCACAAAGAATATTCAGGGCAGCAAAACTATTCTGTATGATAATACATATAATTCAGCATATAGTGGTAGATACATGTCATTACATGTTAGTCCAAACACTTGGAATTTTCAACAGACATCAAGAGGGAACCTAGCCAGGCATAATTGCTTGCAATTCCAGCTACTTGGGAGGTTGAGGCAAGAGGATCACAAGTTTGCAGCCAGCCTCAGCAATTTATCAAGGCCTAAGCAACTTAGTGAGACCCTATTTCAAAACAAAATAAATGAAAAGGGTTTAGTAGTAAAACCCCTCTGGGTTCAACCCCACCAAAAAAAAAAAAGAGTAAACCTAATATAAACTAGAGACTTAATGTGATGTATGAAGTTAATCAGTCATAACAAATCTATCTTCTGGTGCAGAATGTGATGGTAAGGGATGCTAGGCAAATGTCGGGGGTGGGCAGGGAGTGAGTATATGATAAATATTTGTACTTTCTCCTCAGTTTTACTGTGAGCCTAAAACTACTCTAAAAAGTATAATCTACTTTTTTAAGATGTATGATATGGGGAAAAGATACCTATTCTTTTATTCCAGCAGGAAAACCTATTTCAACTCATTTATTTTTTAATTTTTTTATACCTGTATTTTATTTATTTTTATGTGGTGCTGAGGATTGAACCTAGCATCTTGCACATGCTGAGCGAGTGCTTTACCACTGAGCCACAACCCCAGCCCCTATTTTTTATTTTTTTAATAGATATAAAATATTTATTTACAAATAATTTTTCTCAACAAATAGAAATTAATACATTTTTATGGGCTTCAGTGTGATATTTTAGTACATGTATATAATGCATAATCAGATCAGGTCAAGTGGCATACCAATCACCTCATATTTTGTTTTCAAATATTTATTAGAAAAATACCTATTTTGCTGGGGTGAACATATCACATTTGATAATCCATGTAACAAATTTGACTCTATTTTATGGGTATTCTCTGGTGTCACTCACTTTCTTAGTGACAGGGCAAGTTCATCTTCTGGCTGCCCATGGTGATTCCTGGTCCCCCTACCTTCTCTCCTGTCTTGCTCTGTGGCTCTCAGGCAGCAAGCAAGAGTTCATTATATTCCAGGACTTAGTTCACATGCTGCTTCTCCCGTGTGCCCTGCTTTCAAAACTCGAGACTGTGATGTTCACACCACAGACCATTTCTCTAGTGTTTCTGTGACACCTTCCCCATCTCCCATTCCCTTCTTGTCACCTTGTAGAGATTTAGTATTTTTCTCTGATGCATTGTCTGTAGGCTGTCCTTGTTCTCCTACTTCTCTGGCTTTTTTAAAAGAAATATTTTTTAGTTGTAGATGGACACAATACCTTTATTTTACTTATTTATTTTTATGTGGTGCTGAGGATCGAACCCAGTGCCTCATACATGCTAGGCTAGTGTTCTACCACTCAGTCCCAGCCCATCTGACTCTGTTGTCACTGTGACCACCACCATCACCATAAACACCATCGGTATTTGACTCCCCCCTCACTTCTTTTTCATCTCAGATAATTTATCCACTCTGCTCTCTAGGTTCCTGTTCTGAGTCCCACTTTTCTGGGGACCCTTCTTTTGTGTGTTCTATAATTCCGAACTCTTTGGTATGTAAAATGGGATTTTTCATATTCTGCTGGCTCCTCTCATCCTGGAGTCGTATAGACCTAGATCTCATCAAACCTGATTCTTCCTTGTTTGCCTACCATGCTCAGGTGGTCTGAGTTCTGAAGATCTGAAGAAAAATCTACTTGGGGGCTGGGGATGTGGCTCAAGCGGTAGCGCGCTCACCTGGCATGCGTGCAGCCCGGGTTCGATCCTCAGCACCACATACAAAGAAAGATGATGTGTTTACCGAAAACTAAAAAATAAATATTAAAAAAAAATCTACTTGGTCTTGTCCTGTTCTGGGCTTATTGCCACCAGCCTTGTTCAGATCTTAATCACCTGTCATCTGAATTACTGTTTTTGCCTCCTTCCTGGTTTCTGCTTCATCTCTCTTCTTGTTTCAAGACTTAAAAAAAAAATAAAAAGATCTTCACAGATTATTTTTCTAAAAACATCTGGTCATCTGTCAACTCACTTCATGTGACCTCCTACCAGGTTTTGTTCTGGATCCAGAGAATTCAGAGGTAAAAGACCTTGTCAGCTCCTAACCTGGTGTTACTCAAGATCTCAGGGGTCTCTGTGTGTGACTTTCTGCCATTTCGTGTGTTTCTGACACAAGTCCTCTGGTGCATATGTTGGGCCAGTGACCATCTCACAAATATCATTAGCATGCTCACCCCTCTGTTCTTCAGATCCCTACTTCCTTTCTTGAGGACCCACACTTTCTGTTAATCAATTTTTGTGGCCCTTGATTAGAACATACAGTTGGAGATTGTGACAGATTGCTGGATTTTTGGGTATGACATTTTGGAACAGTTTTGTTTACTCTCCAGGATGAGTAAGTGCTGTTCTTCCCTCTACCTTCAGCATTCTAGACACATGAACTCAGTAAAATTTAAATTGGGATGGATAAGGGTGTCTTACTAGATGCCTGTGGACTTGAAATGGGTGAGGATGCCTTCTCACCCCTGCATGGGCCTCAGTAGCCCCAACTATACTACTTTTAGAGCATATTCCCTGCCAATCAAGAGCCTCTCTCTCTGGCTCTCTGCCAGGGCTGATATACCTTTGGGGGGTTTTCAGGTGCAGGTGATCCCCTGGGTGTTGGCTGACAGCAACTTTGTCCGGAGCCCTTCTCAGAGGCTGGACCCCAGCAGAACAGTGTTTGTTGGTGCCCTGCATGGGATGCTCAATGCTGAGGCACTGGCTGCCATCTTGAATGACCTATTTGGTGGAGTCGTGTATGCTGGGATTGACACAGATAAGCACAAGTATCCCATTGGTAAGTGTCCTATTTTTGTGTGGGAAAGCTTGGTGGCCCCTGGGAATAGGCCAAGATTGTGGTACTTTCTCTTGGGAGTGGAGAAAGAGGCCTGACCTAGGTCTGTGGATCAGCTTATTTCAGTGGCATAGCATGTTTTCTAGACAAGTCACCAGTATTGGACCCTCTGCACCCAGCCTTCTACCCCTACCTCCCACATAAAGAAGAAAAAAGTTATCAGAGGCTCTGCAAGGTGATTAGTGATAATTAGACAAGAACTTTGTTGAGAGCTCAAAGTTCATAGCCAAACCAGTTTGGGATAAACGATAGGTAATATTTTATTAAAAGGTCACACTTTTCTGAACTTACCCAGTTTCCTTTATTAAAAATTCTTGAGAAGCTCTGGTGTTGTCTCAGGTCAGAAATGAGGTCAAGCTGGGGGAGGATTTTCTGGGTGACTCGGGTAACAGTGCAGTCATAGCCTGACTGTCCCAGGTTAGGTGAGTCTGTGGGTCTGACCACTGGGTTTCAGTCTGACCACTCCTAACCTCTGATGGGTTAGGAGGTAGAGCAGAGCCTGAACTCTCTGATCAAGACATGGTAACCCACCTCCCCAGATGCTTAGTCTGCCCACCCACACTGAATCTGGTCAGGAAGGAGCACCATGTGCTCATTAGTGCTGTGCCACAGATTGAGAACAAGGACTTCAGAGACTGTAGAGGCGGAGGCGGCACTTGGCAAGATGAGGCTTCTGCAGTTCTTCTACTAGGACTCCAGGTTACCTCCAGGCCAGAAGGGGTGTGTCTTTTGGGCCTCCTCTTCAGAGAGATATTCTATCTGCATCTTGGTTTCTACCCTGAACCCTTACCCCTACCTGTGCATTTTCCTATACTGGAAGAGTCCCTTTTCTGAATGATTTGTGACAACGTAGTCTATAACTGCCTTAATATGGTAGCCACCAGCTAAATGTAATGATTGAGCACTTGAAATGCAGCTTCTTCCGTATGTTAAAATATTTTGAACACAGGGTTAAATAAAATATATTATTAAAATTAATTCCACCATTTTTCTTTTGGTATAGCTTAAGAATCATGTAAGTACCCCATATTTTTGTTGGACAGCACTGCTATAGAAATAGGGTTTCTTGAGTGTTGAAGAATGGCATTTGGGAGAATTTGGCTAGAAAGTAAGCCCATGTCTATTATTTCTAGGGTCTGGTCGTGTGACATTCAATAACCAACGTAGTTACCTGAAAGCAGTCAGTGCTGCTTTTGTGGAAATCAAAACTACCAAGTTCACCAAGAAGGTAAGTGGTGTATGCCCTTACTCTGGGGCATCTCAGAGGGACTTGGTTTTTAGTTACTACCCAGGGCAGGACTGTGACTGAGAAAGTGAACCAAACCACAGAATTAACATGACGATTGGGTGGGCCTGATTTGCATAGGCTCAGGAGGAAAGGAACTGAGATGATTGAGCCACCTGAGAGAGCGGGCAGCTTTCTTCATTGTTATATTCATCTGGTATATTGGTATTCATCTAAATAGCTTACTTCCCTTTATCCCTTTTCTGAATCCTCTGAACACTTGCCTATGACTAAGTTATAGAGGGCCAAGGTACAGTTTTCTGAAAAGAGTAGGCCATAAGGGGTGTGGTTGTCTGAGTCCTCAAGGCAGCCATGTGGCTCTGCATGGTGTGAATCTGCCATCTAGTTTCGCTGTCTATGTTCTCTTCCCATAATTCTCTCTAGTTGCCATTAAAACAAATATCCAATAATGTGCCCAATAATGTGTTCCTGCAGCTCACCTAGCCTCCTGGTGAGAAGAGCCATTTCATCTTCCTCTGTTGCTTTTCTGCAGGTTCAGATTGACCCCTATCTAGAAGATTCTCTGTGTCATATCTGCAGTTCTCAACCTGGTCCTTTCTTCTGTCGAGATCAGGTGAGTCCCCTGGGCACCGATGTCTGTGAAGTCCCTGTGTCAATTAAAAATTAAGCCATGTTTGTGACATTGAGTGTTGGAGTTCTAAGGTACCTCATAATGTCTGAGAACACAGAGGAATAGGTAGTAGTCATGGGATACACTATAGATAATTGTACCATAGCTCTTGGGGAAGCTTATTGAATTGAATTTTGATACTTCAGCCTTCTTCCTGGCCTGCTGCTATGCAATGACATTGTTGGTGGGTGGTTTTGTAGATACCTGTGTGGTTGGCTCAGTGGTACCTGTGAGCCAGGTACTGCTGCTCTGGCTCTGAGACCCTTTGGATTTTTCCCAACTCAAGGACCCCCTTCTGGACTGCTCTGATTTTTATGCCTGGGCCGTACCCACAGTTGTCAGAAATAGCAGCATGGAAACTTTCTATTGACTATTTCTGGGTGGTGGAGTGTGGATGGATCTGGATGTGTTTGGCATTACTTCTCAAAGTAGAAGGTACATATGCCTCATCAGAGAATCTTGTTGAAATGCAGATTCTGATTCAGTAGGTTTGGGGTAGATCCTGAGATATTTCATGTTTATAACACATTTCCAAGTGGCGTCTGCGTTGTTGGTTTGAATCACACTTTGACAAGTTTTGAGGGAAGTTTTGGGGCCTCTTAGGTCACTAGTAGTCCACTCATGCTTAGCTTTGTTTGTTTTGTAGTAATACTTTTCATTCAGTTTGGAGTCTCTGGTTAGATAATCAAACTAAGACTCCCAAGTGAGTTTGAAGTTTGGATAGTTAGGAAAAGCCTAAAAATGAGTATCTTTCTGATCAACCTTCTCAGGAGGTCTTTTATGGACCAAATCTTTCACAGGTGGTCCCCATTTTCAGAGAATTGCTTAGAAGTTAACAGCTTTTGCCAGGCATGGTGGCACAAACCTGTAGTCCTAGTGACTAAGGAGGCTCAGGCAGGAGGATTGCAAGCTCAGTGCCAGCCTCAGCAACTTAGTAAGTCACTAAGCAATTCTATGAGACCCTGTCTCGAAATAAAATATACAAAAAGGGATGGGCATGTGGCTCAATGGTCGATTCTCTGGTATGGGGTGGAAGAATGGGGGAAGACTTCCCTGAGGTTACCCAGCTAGCAAGAGTTGGTGCTGAGACTGAGGTCCAAACCCAATCATCTCTCCTCACTTACTGGGAAATGAGCCTGGCATTAGAATCTGTAGTCAGCTTTTCAGACATTCTCTCATATTAGCAGCCATGTGATAGAGCTACTCTGTGGGAGGTGAGAAGGGTAGGGGAATAGAAGACCAGATGCTGTTACGAGAGAGGAAAACTGCACAATATTTGTACATACTTGGAGCCCAACATATTTACTTAAGAGCACCCACAGAAATAAGACTGGATTTGCTATGGTTGGTCCAGGGCTTTGGAGGGCTTGCAGGAACCATTTCTTCTAGCCTCACAGAGACCACCGGGGTCTCCGGTGTCCTCTCCAAGCAGAACAAGCAGCTCATGCAAACAGCCCCTATGCCTGATGCTGAAATAGGCATGACATTCCTTTTTTATCCCCAGGTCTGCTTCAAGTACTTCTGCCGGAGCTGCTGGCACTGGCGGCATAGCATGGAAGGTCTGCGTCACCACAGCCCCCTGATGCGGAACCAGAAGAACCGAGATTCCAGCTAGAGGAGCTGGCCTTGCCCAGTGGCCTGTGGAGCCCAAGGCTGGCAGGTCAGGCAGCAGCCTGTACCACTGTGCCACTGGCAACCAGGGAGCTGGTTTCCCGAGGACAAGGGAAAATTGTAGTCACCTTTGCACTTGCTGAATCTGTCTTTGTTTCTGCACTAATTACTGCACAATGAGTTTTGTTGGTTTTTGTTTTCAGGGGGTGTGCCAGGGCAAGGGCCCTCTGGACCACCCTCCAAGCGACTCTGTAGTTTTCCCAGATTTTAGTTCCTCATTTTGCAGATGAAAAGCAAAAAAAAAAAAAAAAAGAAGAAGAAGAAGAAGAAAAAAAAAAACTATGTGTCCAGAAGGTATTGACACGGATGCCTACATCTAGGTTTATTTATTAAAGCGCTTTTTTACATTCCTTGCAATACTGATGGTGATGATGCACAGGTCTCATTGGTTTCATTCTTGCAGTTGCCATACAGTGCCTTTCCATTTATTTAACCCCCACCTGAACGGCATAAACTGAGTGTTCAGCTGGTGTTTTTTACTGTAAACAACAAGGAGACTTTGCTCTTCATTTAAACCAAAATCATATTTCATATTTTACGCTCGAGGGTTTTTACCGGTTCCTTTTTACACTCCTTAAAACAGTTTTTAAGTCGTTTGGAACAAGAGATTTTTTTCTTTCCTGGCAGCTTTTAACATTATAGCAAATTTGTGTCTGGGGGGACTGCTGGTCACTGTTTCTCACAGTTGCAAATCAAAGCATTTGCAACCAAGAAAAAAATTTGTTTTATTTGAAACTGGACCGGAAAAACGGTGTTAGAGTGGCTGCTGTATATAGTTTTAAATGGTTTATTGCACCTTCTTAAGTTGCACTTACATGGGGGGGAGGGTTGATAGAAGTTTTTAACCACAAAATCACAGGACTTTTTTTCTTTTGTAACTGAGCTAAAAAAAAAAAAAAAAAAGGGCTGCTTTTTTTGGTGGGGGCAGATGAAGGCTCACAGGAGCCCTTTCTTTTAGAGGGGACAAGTACCCTTCCTTAATATATTTCATTTGAGGAATGTATGAATCAACAGTTGCAGTTGACTGAAATGCTACTGGAATTTGAAAACTTGACTCTTTTCTTTCCTTCTTTCTTTCTTTTATTTTAATACTACTTGCCCCTCTTAGGGAAGCTGTGTGCCAAAGAACCAGTGTCATAACCCCCTCCTCCCTCCTGCTGAGCTGATGTTGCATTGTTGCATATCCCAGCTACTCTGTGGGTTTTGTGAAGCTGTGTGTGAAGTCTCTACCTCATTGTAGTATATGCAGGCAAGACTGCACTCTCCTACAACAGATGTGTGGAGTAAGCTGTGGTGTAGTTTTTTTGGCACATAATAAACACGTTGCAGCAGAATTCTGGCTTTGTCTTTGTATCTTGAGATGTGGGTGATAGATTCCTGAGAAAAACTTGTTTCCTTGGATTTTCTGTGGTGGGATTCTAGCCCAGGATGATGGTGGAACCATGTGGGAGACATACTCTTGTGAGTTCTGGGTTTCTTCCATAGCCAAATGTACTTTTGGAGATGCCTCTCCAGTAGGTGGTTGCTTCATGTAAGAAGCTCTCACACTAAAGTTTCTTGCAGCCTCCACATGAAGCTTGGAAGATGTGCAAGTACATCTGCCCAGGTGTCAGGAGCCACTTCTTATCTTCTATGAGCCCTTGCATGTTTTTTCTTTTTAACAACAAAAACAAAAACAAAAAAAAAATTTTTTTTAAGTTGGACACAAAACCATTATTTTATTTATGTGGTGCTGAGGATAGAACCCAGGGTCTTACACATGCTAGGCTAGTGCTCTACCATTGAGTCACAACCCCAGCCTCTGCAGGTTTCTTCCTGGGAGGCTTCTCTACCTCTTGAACTTGTCTATGCTGATAATTCAGCTTTTTGCTGGTCTTCAGGGAGCCCTATCACTGGACTCTTAACAGGTTTCCAGAACTTGGGACAGAGTCTCATGACTTTTTTTTTTTTTCTTCAGGTAGAGTAGGCTGAGCCCAGCTGTTTGATTCTTTTGGAGATTATGATTCTTCAAACTGAAGCATCCCCTCTGTGAGGTGGAAGAGTTTATATTGGGTAGGGCTGGGGAGACCCCTCAAACAAGACTGAGAGGTGATCTTGTACTTTGGGCCTGAAGTTTGGATTAAACTTCATTGGAAGTTTACTGATAAAGGAAGCTCCTACAACTCTTGAGATTCTGACCCTTTTTGTATCCTCTTTAACTTTCCTATACCATAGAGGCATCCCTGCCCCCCCTTTTTTTGTCTACATGCTACTTTCAGGGTGAAGGCTTCCTGCCCTTTATCCTTCCATCCCCAATAAGTTGGAAATTTGGAGTGGCTGAGACAAGTTGAGGAATGTGGCATAGTCCTGGACTCTTTTATATCTAACCTGGCCTTTCTATAAGTTAAGTGTGACCTAAGACTCCGAAGCCCAGGGAGGAGACCTGGAGGAAGGAGGGCGGGGACGGGGCCCTCCCCTCCCTAGGCTGATAAGGGCAAAAGGGACAAACTGCTGGTGGCTTCAGAAAGGCCTGATTTGGGCGATGGGTAAGGCAGAAACAGTCTGAAGACTGCAGTGGTGGGTAGAGGAAGGAGAAAGCACTTTCACTTGTTGAGAGTGCTGCATTTGAACTAGGACCCAGGCACTGTTCTAGCACTAGGGATTAGTTAAACAAAAGGGCCCTTGCTGTCATGGGGCTCAGCCTTTGTTTCTTGACAGGTGCCTTAGCACTAAGTATTAAAGGAATACTGTACATAAATTGTAGGGAAAGACTGATAGTGTGTTTGAGCTAACGAAGAAATGAGAAAATTTCTCTTAGTACACCCATTTCTCCTCCAGATTAGATATGACAAATCTGACCCACAGACACAATGAGGTCCCTTGGAGGGGTTCCATCCCTTCCTAGTCTTCCCAAGCCTCAAACCTATTCTTTTCGACCTGGAGTGTGTGGGAGAGAGGCATCCCTCCTGGTCCAGAGCTCATCCTAGCAGGAACAGCATGACAAGGGCCTGGGCCACTAGGTAAAGCCAGAACGGAGCGGGTAGCACCGCCCACTGGAGCCGGATGCGAAACACCCCGCTTCCGCCCCATGCCGCCAGAGGCCGCTGTGGTACTCCCGAGCGAATTCCGCGATTCTCGCCTGGGCGGAAGTGGCTTTCTGGCCGGCGCTTTATATTGCCTCTCTCTCACTTCCTGTTTCCTCTTTTGCCAGGACCCGCCAACATGGTAGGTGTTTTCGTTTGAGTGCTCACTCCTCTTCAATCGTTGTCCATCCTCAGTTTTCCCGGACCCTGGCCCACAATGGGAGACTTTGGGCCAGTCGGACGCCGGTTCCCGTTAGGCTGGAACTGCGACGGGCGCGGTTCTTGTAGAGCTGGGGTTGCGGTCGGCGCTAGTTACTCCCGCCCGTCCAGGTTCACCTTTCTCCTGCGGTGATTCTGGTCCTTTAACCCGGACTTGTTGGCTTGCGAGTGACTTCGTCTCTGCCCGCAGGGCCGCGTTCGCACCAAAACTGTGAAGAAGGCCGCCCGGGTTATCATCGAGAAGTACTACACGCGCCTGGGCAACGATTTTCATACCAACAAGCGCGTGTGCGAGGAGATCGCCATTATTCCCAGCAAGAAGCTCCGCAACAAGATCGCAGGGTGAGTGAAGGCCTGGAAAAAGGTGCAGAACTGTGATCGCGGGCTGGCGGTGGGAATTGCCGTCCTCGGATTTGGGGAAGACTCCCCCCCCATGGTTTTGTTAGCGCCAAGCTCCCTGGTACTCCAGAGGGAGTTGGAGGTTTGTATTTGCAGATTTTGCTGGGATGTTCGGGTTATGACTGGCTGTCATGGTTAAGGTAATCGAAGTCAGATCTCTGGACTTAAGTCTTACTTGGTTTTTATTTGCTTTTAATAAAAATTACTCACTGTTGCTATTATTAAAAATATTGGTAGAACTATGTGCGAGAAACCAAAGGAACAGAAATACTTCACTAAGGGGTTCTGAGTGGGAGGTTCTTCGATGGGGAATCCTCTTTTCTCTCTGGGAAAAGAACTAAAACTGATGTGTATCCAGATGTCCTGGGTACCAGTAAAAGTCCAGTGTGTTCTTACTGTGTGTACTTATAGCTATGTCACACATCTGATGAAGCGGATACAGAGAGGCCCTGTGAGAGGTATCTCCATCAAGCTGCAGGAAGAGGAGAGAGAAAGGAGAGACAATTATGTTCCTGAGGTAAATTTTTTGGATCTTCAGGTTTCTGGCTTCCAAAGGGACCTCCACTGAGAGTTTCAGGAGGCCTTTTACCAATGCACCCTCAATCAACTTGTAGGTGCTTATTATCTCCTGTTTGGTGGCCTTTTTTGTGACCTCTTGGAACCAGATTAAGTCTGTTTTTCCACATGAAAGACCTCTTGCCCTTAATAGTATTTTTAAAATGCAAGTTCTGTCTTAATGGTTTTCTGAGTAGTCAATGGGGGCACAGGAAGATAAAAGCAGAACAGCTTTTTGGGGCCTCTTTTACTGCTACAACAGACTTGATCACTTTATGGGTTCCTAACCTTTCTCTCCAGCCCCAGTCCCCTCTTCTGGGTATGGGGAGGGGTTTGTTTTTACTTCCTATCTGCTAATTTAAGAATGGGGGGCAGTTGAGGTGAGGGAGAGCTCAGTGGTTGATATTTTGGGTCTGTCTCCCTTCTAGGTCTCTGCCCTGGATCAGGAGATTATTGAAGTAGATCCTGACACTAAGGAAATGCTGAAGCTTTTGGTGAGTGTCCCTTAGATTTCTCAAGTAAGAACTGCTTGGTCAGGATCCATAGTAGCTTTCTGCTATTTGTAATGGCAGTAGATCAAATCCAAGGTCACAACTAGTAAATGGCACTAAACAGATTGCTTTTAAAGTGGTTTAGCTAGTATTGAGTGCTGGGTGGTTTGAGAATTGATTGAGTGCTCATCACAAGATGATCCCAATACAGTGGTATCCAGTATTTCCTTCTTAGTTTCTTCCATTTTCTTTTTGGTTCTGTGGCTGACTTATCACATACACCCCCTTTGTTGAAGTCCTGCCTCACTCCTTGGGATACTGAATGTTTGAATGCTCATCTAAGAAATGAGCTGTGATCTCACTTGTAAATATACACCAGGCACTACTTAGATGGTTGACAGCTATTTTCAGTACAATTTGATAATGTTTCTCTTTGGCTTATCTTTGTCCTTTCACTTTAAGTTGGTGAAAGTAGCATGGGCCTCAAAAGTCTATCGTGCTGTTGGTGACTTGAAGCTTCTCCCCTCTCCATTTCTTATCCCCTCTCTATTTCTTATCTTTAAATGTTAAATCATTCAAAAAGAGTAAAAAAAAAAAATGGACTCCTATGTACCTAACACCCAGTTTCCAAAAAACAGAGACTGTTGTAGGCTGTGAACCTTTCCCTTCTGAAATAACCTTTGTTTGAAATGCAGCTTTTTATTTTTTTTTTTTCCCCTTTATTTGAACTGTAAAATGGGTTTTTGAGAATGAAATGGGAGAATGAAGCAGGCCCTAATCTGGTCCTGCTTCCACTTTCCTTGGTAACTTGTATTCCTGGTGTTGAACTTTTCCCTGAAGCTGGTCCTGAAAAGGGCTTTTGTGTCATGAAGGATTTGTTCCAGTAACCCCCCCACACACACACACTGTAATAAAATCTGGATGCTAGGTGGCATATTTGCATATGACCTATGCATTCTGTCCTGTACTTTAAGTCATCTTTAGATTATACCTAGTGTCAAATCTATGTCAGTTATGCAGTATTGTTTAGGGAATAATGACCTAATGAGCATATATGTTCAGATAGATTGGGTTTTTTCCCGAATACTTTTAACCATGTTTGGTTGGATCCATGGATATGGAGAGCAAATCCTATTCTCAAAGGATGGGTCTTGTCTAGGGCATGAGTCAGCCATCTAGTGGGTAGAAGCCAGGGGATGCTGGCACACTTTCAGAGTGCAGAGTAGTACCCTCTAACATATCTAGGCCAGTGTATCTGTAGTACCAAATTTAAGAAGCACTGTTTTGGTATGAAAATGAGTTGTGAAAACAAGAAGAGCTGCATGGCAGGTTTGTGAAACTTAGAAACAGTGGTGTAAGCAGAGATTTTTAAGTAGCTAGGCATTGTTGAAGAAACGTCACTAGTGGAAAGTGGAAGTCTCCTAACAGCCAACTGCTCAAGAAGAGGGGTTCTTCAGATACTGCCTAGACCTTCCTCAGTGTTATGGCCCTAGCAGCAGAAGACATTTTTTTGTGCTGAGTCCCACCAGTCTAACTACATACTGATGGGGGCTGGCAGCACAGTCTCGCAGTGTTGCTATGGGGCAGACCCACAGATCTCACCTGTTCAGCTCACATTGAATCCGTTTTGTTGTTCCAGGACTTCGGCAGTCTCTCCAACTTGCAGGTCACTCAGCCTACTGTGGGGATGAATTTCAAAACACCACGTGGAGCTGTTTGAATCTTTCTGCTATGCTGTAATATTTTCAATAAACCTGGGAAAACAACTTTCCTGTGTCATCTGTGGTGTTGGGTATGGATGGAGTTAACTGCTGGCAGTTGCTTGAGATTTCAAGGAGCCATGTCCTATGATTTAGGAGTGGGTTCACCTGAATTCAGTAAAGGAGAAAATGTTAGCTGGATTCCTAGTACTAAGAAAAGGTGTGAATGTGTGTACTGAAGCCTGAAGGGAGGTCTGGGGCATGTCCAGAGGCTACAATGCTTTTGTCAGTTTCCTCTTTCATGCCCTGGGTCTTTGTTCTTTACCCTCTTAAGAATACACATAAATTGAGCCAACTTGTTCAGTTTTAGAGGTTAAAAACCGATTTCTCACACCAGGGTTAGTGAGGTTGGTTTGTGTGCTGTGAATTCTTAAAGGGGGAAAAGGGTGTGTCCTTTGGTTTGTAGGGAGAGGCAGAGCTCACTGTACAGTCCCAGTTGCTCTACAGGCTTTGGCAGATATAAAACTGGGTCTTCCTATCAGTGTAGCTGAGCTGGGCTGGTGTGAGCTCCTGAGTATAAGGTTTGGGCTTTGTGTTTTGGGAGAGCTGTTCGGCTTGGTGCCCAGGCTAATCCCCATTTATGTGTGGCCAAGATTACTTGGCAAGGAAGTGGCAAAACTGGGATTTGGATCCAGGTCAGGCAGGCTCCCAAGCTGCTCTTTACTGATCTTGTATATCTGCTTGTCAGGCAGATAAGAATAATTTTTAAATTACTTTGAAACATTTGCTCTTATTTTTCCCCAATTGCTTTATCATAGTCTTTTTTACATTTTTGAGGCAGAGTCTAAGTTGCAGAGGGCCTCACCTCATTGCTGAAGCTGGCTTTAAACTTGGAATCCTCCAGCCTCAGCCTCCCCAGCTGCTGAGACTACAGGCATGCACTGTTGTGTCTGTCTCAAACACGTGTACTTTTTTTTCCCCCAGACCCATTTGAAGTTTTAAGTTGGAGATGTGCAGTTACCTTCCAAATAATTTTACTAAGACTGTTCTTTAAGGTAGCTACAATACAATTCTCAAAATTTGAAAGGTTGATAAAATGCTATTATCTAGTCCACAATCAAAATTTTGCAAGTTTTCCCAACAATGTCCTTTATGATTTTTTTCCCTCATCTACCATCACTGTACCTAGTTTTCATGTTCCTTCTGCCTCCTGTCTTTCATGACTGACGTCAGATTTTGTTGTTGGGTATTGTGATTGAACTCTGGCACTTGACCATTGAGCCACATTCTCAGCCTTGTTTTGTATTATATTTAGACAGGGTCTCACCGAGTTGCCTGGCATCTTTTGCTGAGGCTGGCTTTGAGCTTTTGATCCTCCTGCCTCAGCCTCTCCAGCCTCTGGACATCAGATTTCGAAAAATATTGGCCAGTTTTGTAGAATGTCCTTCAATTTGGGCACGCTTAATGTTCCTTCACAGTATGACCTAGTTTAGTATTTTCTGTAGGAATGCCACAAAAATGATGTTCTTGGTGCTCCTGTTGAGAGACAGACTTTGTTACCTGTTTTATGATGTCTGAGCACTTGGTTTGAGGTTTATTGTAGATTTCCACAGTAAACTTGTTCCCCTTTTTTAAATTGGTAAATTGTGAGATATTTTTGAGGCTTATGATCCTGTTCATCTTTTACTATTTTTGGTACCTGTTGATATTCCAACTCCATCATTATACAGTATTCTGTAATGAGCTTTTCCCCTTAGTTATTCACAGCTAGCTTTGGTTTACATTTTTTTTCTTTTGGTGTGGAGGTCAACTGTTCTCACCTAAATACATAAAGGAGCTTCCCCCACTAGGGTCTCCCACAGGTGGCTCATGAGGCTGAGGCAGGAGGATTGAGAGTTCAAATCCAGCCTCAACTAAGCAACTCAGTGAAACCCTGTCTCTAATAAAAATACAAAATGGGCTGGGGATGTGTCTCAGTGGTGGATTGCCCCGAGTTCAATCCCTGGTACCCAAAACAAAAACCAATAAAATGTGAAACTGGTAAACTAGCTACTGCTCATTTTTGCCTTGCTCTTCCACTGGGGGGCAGCATCACCATTATTTTGCATGTCCTTGACTCCACCTGTAAGACCTTTCCTGCTGGATAACTTGGCTGCAGGTTAGGGAGTTGAAGAAAGAGGGGCCCAGGTGACTGCATTAGGGGAGGGCAAAGCAGCTGTGGACCAGTGCCCCAGCAGGATGGATAACCTCTCTAGGCCTCAGCTCTTTCACCTGTAGTACAGGATTAATAATAATGCTCATTAGAGCTCCTTCCCCACTCCAGTGGATTTTAAGCAGCTGGCTAGGCCTCTCCCCTAGGGCTGCTTCACACAGATGTCTGGGTGGCGCTGGATGTGAAACTGCAGGAGTGCTGTCCCTCCCAGGTTCTTTGGGTCAGAATAATGCTTGTGGCATAATATGGACTGCAGAGTCTTCTGCTTCTGTGTCAGGGATGTTCTGCTCCTTGAAATTCTGTAAATGCCCCAGAAACTTTCTAGGTAATATTTCTTTTCTACCTACATCATTCTTGGTTGTTTTCAGCAAAGAAAAACAACTCAGATAAAAGTGAACCTAAGATGTGTATGTTTTTTAAAACTCAATGAGGGAACTAAGAAAGTGTTATCTGTTCAAAGGAGAAGGACAAACTTATTTACAGTAAAGGGATGTAGAAATAAATGTAGTGGACACAACTAAATTCTTCCACAATGAGGATGTCAACTGAAGCGCTAACTGAAGAATTTTATTTGCATGGATCTAGGCAAGAATCATCTACAACTTTTTAAAGACAGTTTAGGCAATTTATATATTTCTAGAAATTTGTCCATTTAGCTTCAAGTTTTTAGTGTATACTTAATAGTTTTCTCTGGTAATTCTTTTTATTTCTTTGTTCAGTAAAAATGTCCCTGCTTTCATTTTTTAAAAAATTGTTTTGGTACCAGGGATTGAACCCAGGGGTGCTTTAACACTGGGCTAGATTCCCAGCCCTTTTTTTGTTTGTTTGTTTTAATTTAGAGGTATGGTCTCCATAAACATTATGGGCCTTCCTCTCAAACTTGTGAACCTCCTGCCTTAGCCTTCTGAGCTGCTGGGATTACAGATGTGAGATACCATGGCCAGCCTTGCTTTCATTTCTGATTGTAGTTATTTGTATCTTTTCTTTTTTGAGAGTTTAGCTAGAGATATGTCAAAATTGATCTTTTGAAAGAATAGACTTTTGGTTGTATTGATCTCTCTTTTCCATGATCTATTTTATTTTGTTTCTTCCTCTTTCCATCCTTTTCTTACTTTTGCCCTCCCTTTCTTCCTTCTTCCTTAACTTTAGGCTTACTTAGCCTTTTGTGGGGGGGGGTATGGGGGTCAGGGTATGGGTACTTGGGATTAAACCACCGATCTGTACCCCCAGCCTTTTTTATTTCTTATTTTGAGACAGTCTCATTAAGTTTCTCAGGCTGACCTCAAACTTGCAATCTTCTTGCTTCAGCCTCCCAAGTTGCTGGGATTACAGGTGTGCACCACAGCACCTGGCTAGTTTGCCTTTTCTCTAGTTGCTTACCGTGTAAGTTTTGATATGTTGTGTTTTCATTTTTATTTGTCTCCAAGTATATTCTCATTTCTTTTGTGATTTCTCTGATCTATTAGTTGTCCGAGGACATGTTGTTTATTTGTTGCATCCTTATGAATTTTCTAGTTTTTCCTATTGTTAATATTTAGCCTCATTCCAATGTGATCAGAAAAGATACTTAGTATGATTTCAAACTTAAAATGTATTAATACTTGTTTGGTCTATCCTGGAGAATTTTCCATGTACACTTAAGAAAATATATACTCTACTATTGGGTGGAATTTTTTTTTATATCTTTTCAAAAAATGTGTATAACATCAAGTTTAATTAAAAGAATCAGATCCTCATCCTAGGATGAGATGGGATAGTCTAGGTTGTTCACATCAACTGGGACATCTGTCTCTTATTGGTGAGTTAGGAGAAAGGTAATAAGGCAGAACATATACTGTTCCAAAGGTTTCCAATCAAGAGGGATGTACAATTTCCATTCACATTTCATTGCCAAGGTAGTCACCGTGGGTCTGCACAGATGTAATAGTTGACCTGTGCTTCCATGTGGCTTCTTTCTCATCCTCCTGCAGAGTGGCTTGAACTCTCATATGGTGGTCTCAGTGCTCTTACTGAGAAGTAGTATTCCTGCTGCTTGAATCACAAGCCATGGAGCTACTAGGAATGCAGCCTTCCTCTAACCCATCATCTTGAATCTGCCTCTATTTATATCTTGAAGCCTTGTGAGTTTTTAGTATTGTTCAAGCTACTATATCTTTACTGACCTTTTATCTCACTTCTGTATCCATTATTAAAAGTGGGGAGCCAGGTGTGGTGTTGCATTCCTATAATCCCAGTGACTCATGATTTAAAGGCCAGCTTTAGCAACTTAGTGAGACCCTGTCTCTAAATAAAATATTTAAAAAGGGCTGGGGATGTGGCTCAGTTTTAAACACTCCTGGGTTCAATCCTCTGCACGCACATGTGCACACACACACACACACACAAGTGCAAAAAAAAATAAAGTGGTGCACTGAAATTTACAACAATTATTATAGAATCACCTTTCCCTTTAATTCTGTCAATATTTGTTACATGTTTGGAAATCTGATGTCTGGTGCATATATTCTTATAATTGCTATATCCTCTTGGTGAACTGACTCCTGTATTAATATATAATGTCCTTTTGTCCCTTATAATAGTTTTTTGACATAAAACTTATTTTGTCCAATATAATATAGCAACATTAGCTTTCCTTTGGTTACTATCTGCATGGAATATCTTTTTCGATCTTTTTGAATCTAAAGTGTGTTTCTTGAAGATAGCATATAGTTGGTTCTTTTTTAAAAAATCCATTCTGGTTATTCTTTATATTTGATTTGGATAGTTAAAAAATTCTGCCATTTTCTATGTTTTTTTGTATATCTTTTTGTCTTTCATTTCCTCCTCTATTTGTATTTAGTTGACTCTCAGTAGT